GCCTTCAGATACAACCCTAGACGGGAAAACAAACGCCGCAGCAAGCTAGAAAAAATACTCAAACACCAAAAAATTGACCACCTAAAACCAAACAACATATTTACAATGAACTAAGATAACTAGGAGGGGGAGAAAAAGGAGGCGCCAGTCCTACCAGCCCTAATTAGGGCCGGCCAGCTCAACCTCCCCGCTAAATCGGCAACCTCCCTGCTAAACCGTCAGCCCCTTGTTGAAGAGCAGCACCATATCACCACATATGATGATTTATAGATATTTCCACAAAGAGCCCAACCAATATAACCAAATCTGTGGTAAGAATATCAGCTAAGCAATTTGCTGGAGAATTTTTTTTCAATTAGGTTATAGAGATGATCTGGGCATAACTTTCATTGTTTTTTCCCCTATAAGAATGATTTTCAAATTTATTTTTCATATTTTTAGCAATCTGTTAGTAGTTGTTGGGAGGTTGTTAGAAATTTGGTGGCAATTTATTAATTTTTTACTCCATACATAAATATGAAAATTATAATTATTGTAACAACGCTGATAGCACAAAAAAAATCCTTCTGTAAATATAGAAAATCTCTTCTTCATCTGCTTCAAGATTGAGGCTTACATTCTTTCGACTATTTTTTATCTTTTAGCATTCATTTCTTACCCACTTCCCTTTTTCTTCGATGTTTTTCTTCATTGGTTTGAAAAACAAGATTATATTCGATCATATTTACAAAAATCAATTTATTTTAAATTGCATTAATTTCAGATAATTCATACTAGTTATGATATTAGCAAATTGCTGTTATTCAGCTTGTACATGGTTTTCTTGTCCCGATTTAGATAATTAATAACAATAGGAGACAAGAAATTTTTTGTTTGAATTGATTTATATTATTTATCATTTTTATTTTATAAAAGGTAATCAATAGTTGTTTCAAATACATGAAGTCATGTGAATATTTCCAATTTTTCGCATTCTTTTCAATACCTCAAGCATTAATCAATATTAGAAAACATATATCAAAAGACAACTAAAATGGTTAGATCTGAGCTCTACAATTGAATTAAGGTATTTATTTGATAGGAAGTTGATGGAAAAGCGAGTTACAAAGAAGAACTTGCAAGTCATATTCACTTCTTCTTTTATTTTTTGTTGCATATAATAGTAAAAAAATACAGCTTAGCATTAAAAGGAAAATTTTAAGCGATCTGCAATGCTTTATGGGGCAGAATATTAGCCTATAAAAGAGAAGCATAAAACTAAGTTAAGTGTTGTTGGGATGAGAATGCTTAAGTGGATGAGTTGCTTTAGAGACAAAAAGTTAAATGAATATATATAAATGTGAAACAAATGTATCCGTGAAAGGGTTGGTGCAGCTCCAGGGTCAGACAAGAATAGAGGGAGTTGCCTTAGATGGTTTCAAGAATAAAGGCAGTTGTCTTAGATGGTTTGGTCACATTAAATATCAACCGTTTGATGATCCAGTTAGGAGAGTAGATGCTTATGTTAAGAAAGGTAGAGGTTGACCTAAAAAGACTTGGGCTAAACGCCGCCCGCACTTATAAGCTGTCCCAAACGGGCAATTAATAGGACACAATGGACAAAAAAGATTCATGTAGCCGACTCTACTTATTGGGATAAAAGCTTGTTGTTGTTATTGTTGTAAACATTAGAAAAATAATATTAATAAGCAAATGGAAAAATTAATTAAATAGAGATTATAAAGAAATTAAGCAGTGTCAGAATGATTATTCTACTAAATTAAGTTAATCAACTATACACAAATAAAACAAGAACCAATAAGCGTAACGAAGGTAGAATTATCTATTAATTATCCAATATGGATGATTTCTTAGCTAAGCAAAGTTTCTGTAGAATGATGAATTTGCATAATCAAATATTAATTGTAGTAATAAATTGGGAATTAAATAACAATTAAGAAATTTAACTACAATTTGCATTAAAATTAAGGAACTGGTAGAGAATAGTTATTACTTGATGATTAGATAATAAATTAATCTACATAGTCTAGAAAAATTAATCAATAGATTAATCAGGATAAAAAATTTAGGTTAATAAGTTGTTAATACATGAATAGGAGAATAAATAAGAAAACTTATATTAGCTAATTTTAAAATTCATTATGTAAATTAAACAATAATTACTGATAAAGATATTATATCATATCATTTACGCTGATTAGCTGTTAATTAATGATTGAGACAATAAAACAACTCTAATCAGTCGTAAAAAAATTGAACGCCAAATTTAAAAATTCAAAAAAAAATAATTAAACTAAATAATTATAAAATGATTATTATTATAATCATTCTTCTAAATAAATGCTATAATTAATTAAACAAGGGGCATTTGCCTACATACCACCCAATTCTTATGTATCTACATATCTAACACCTACTAAACTTTACTTTTACATTTATTCAACCCAAATCATCCATAACACAACAAAATTACAACTATTTTGACTTTTAAAAGGTGAAATACACTAAGGTGAAATATACTCTTTCATGTATATATAAAAAATTGAAGTTGAGGTGATAGATATGTAAATACGCAGGAATGTATGTAAATCTTCTATCAAGAAATACCTATCAAAGTGCATTACCTTATGAAAGAATATAAAACTTTACCTTGTGAAAGAATATAAAACAAACTTAGAGACAGATGTATAATAAATTAAATCAACAACAATTGAAATAATTGAAATATCAACAACAATTTTGACTCTCATTAGGAATGCATTGGATAAAAGATAATAAGGAAACAATCATGAAGAGAATGGAATGATGTATCAATAGTCCATACCTCAACAAATTCCTGATCAAAAACTGCTTCTGCCTCAAAATCAGGTGCAAGATTCCCAACTAATGGAAACTTTTCCTGTAAAAATTATATTTAGAATCCAAATCAATGCTCACCTTAGGGAATAAAAGCAGTCATGGTAAGTGAAAAAAAAGAACTAAAAAAATGCAACAAATGAAAAATGTAAATTTGTAAACCAAAGTAGAAAAAGCATACTAACCATAATTTGGTTGCATGTTTTTAAAATTGATGCATTAGAATAGCAAATTAATTGGAATATATGTATTTTATAAAGTAAATGGGTTATTTGGTCAGATGCAAATCAAATGCAGTCAAATGCCTTTTCATGTTTATCATGATGCATTTTAAATGCATTAAGCTACAGCGAACAGCAAAGAGTGGTGGGAAAGCTGACGAGAATTGGCAAGCAGCAATTGGAGCAGGCAACAGAGGTCGTATGCAAATGGCAAGTGCTGATTGAAAGGCACAGCAATGGAAGGCATAAGGCGATAATGAGTAAACTACAATTTATGGATAGATGACGTTGGCGGCTGGCGGGAAGATGGTAAGCGGGCAAACAACGATAAAGAGAGAGTGAATGCGACATTTGAGTGTGAGAGGGGACGTATGAAGGAGACGGTTAAGGCAGGCAAGCATCAAGTTGCATAAGTGAGATGGCATTTAGTGAGCTTTCCTTATATTTAGAATAAAACTAATTTGAGAAAATTATAAATGCATCAGAAATAGGCAATCTCCTGCATATACTTTGTAAACGAGCTGAACACGAATAAATATTTGTTCGCTCGTGCTCAACTTGTTTGGCTCGAAATAATTAAATAATTAAATAATTATTATTATTAATATCTTTTTATATTATTTTTTATATGTATAAAACAAATGCTGTTTTTTTTTATTTTTAAAAATTATTTGAGTGATATATTTATAAAAAATAAAATTTTAGATGTTAAATACGTAAATAAATAGATTCGAGCTGTATGCATGTAAATATTTCTAAAAATCTAGCCTATCCCGTGCATAGAATTTAATAATTTATTGTGGCATGCAGTAAAGTTCTCCTAGCAATCTTTAGTCCCACACCGACAATTTTTTTTTTCTTTAGAAATTTTGTATATCTCTATAAAATGAAGACTTAGTTGTAGAGCTTTACCTACATGAAAATTCAAATCCTTAGTAACTGGGATTTTGCAATATAAATATTCATGGATTTCCCAAAAAATTATAAAATAAATATAATCGTGTCTGGTTTGCTGGTTTTAAGGTTGGACCGTCTGTTTAAGTCGGTTCTAGTCGGTCCAATATAAGGGTGGTTTATGCCAACCCAGAACAAGACCACAGGCTGGTTCACGGTTGAACCGGTTGAAGTGACCAACTCGGTTCAGTTTTCTTAAATAGTGGAATTTACAAGAAAATCTTTTTTGCATCAATTTAATAATCTTCATTGCTAACAATAAAAATTTTCTTAATATCAAAACAAGATGAATTAATGCTAATATGATCAATCAATAATCATAAATTAGAATTTATAGAGACATTATATAAAACTTGATAGTGTTGATCTTCAAATTCAAAAGCTCCATCTAAATTTTCAAGTGAAGCTATCCTTAATGTATGAAATCTATAGGAAAACAATTATAATATTACTTTTATCTTCAATGATTGACATCCATCTCAAATATCAAAAATTGAACAAAGAATTAGCAATTATTAAATATGCTATTCATCTCTTGTAGTTGTTAAAAGTGTCAAAGAAGATATCAGTTTTTCAATGATCTCTATTGTAGTGTCACTTTATGACGAAGCCATCATCAACCATCAAAGTATGGAATACTCATATTTGTAATGTGTATATTACTTCTCTCTCACACACACAATAAAAAAATAAACCTCATCTTTTAGAGCAAAGAATCAAATTTGTTGTCTCTCAATTTTTATAAGACAACAAAGTTAAGACATCAAGATAATATCAATTACCCCTTTACCTGGGCCAACTATTGTAATAGTATTGTAAGCACTGTTGTCATCACCGAACTTGACCAAAATTGCAATAGACCTTTAAGATTGCCTTGCCTAACAATAACCTCCCCATTCACCTAAAGAGGGGTGGTGGTGGTGACTATGTATTCCATAGTGAACTGACTCAACATGATCACCTACATGAAACTAGCTTAGGCATCATAACTTCCAACACACGATGGGTTGAGAAGTCGAATTGTCGGCATGCCATGGATATGGCAGCACATTCCATTGAATGAGTCATTAGCAAGTTTGTTGACATGCCATTGGTTGTGGCATCAACTCCATTATGATTTATGAAGACTATGTCAAGATTATCTAAAATCACAACAATGAGAACCCTCTCCCCCTCTTTTCATCCAAAATACCTTCATAGGAAAAGAGTAATTGGGATCAATCCAATTAGTTTCACTCCAACGGCAAACTCAAAATTAATACGGTCGAAACATAACTAGTTAGGTGACGCATAATAACAAAAATCACCCCAAAGACATCCACCAAATTACAAACACTAAACAAGCAACAAAAACAACACATGCAAAGTGAAATCCCTTGAGTAGAATGAAGCTAAGTTCTTAAACATTAAGGCACACTTTAGTGTAAATGTTGGAATTTCATCAGAATATCCAAAGTTAAGTGTGCTCTTGCGAAAATGTTTGCCCTTAAAATAAAAAAAAGAGAGAGACAAAGAGAGCAAAAAGAAGGGAAATAATTAATTAAGTTAAATTGTTAATTGTTCCTACACTTTTTTGTGTTCGCGCTTTATTCAAAACAAGGTATAACTACTCCCGGGGAGTTGTTTCTATTGTAGGAGCTAAAGAGAGAGAGAGAGATCCCCTCTTGGAAAGGAGGAAGCCGGAGAAGATTCTTTTTATTTGTAAAGTTGAAAGCCATATAAGCCCTAGCCTCTATTCTCGCGCTTGCGCAATCCTAGCCAAAGATGATGTCAGATGCTCTCGGCAAAGCCTTTCTTCCCTTTGTTCACTAGCATTGCTCGCATACACACACGAATAGGGCTAGCGGGAAAGGAAATGACAGGATTACAACGAACTAAGATCTCATATGCCAATCGTTGAAAAGCAACAACAAGATCATGGCAATGTTAAAACCTCCGCTCTCCTACTTCGTCTTTCTCGTGACCAAAATCTTTAGGATATAGTTGTGATTAAAACCGGTAAGAAGCTAATGACAGGACATCCACATGCGAAGAACTTCAAAGTCCTTCCTGTTTGAACCGAAGGAAAGGACTGAAATTTGGCACGCAATTCTTCCCCGTCGCACTGAACCCAACCACAAAAGACCCCAATCATTGGCACAAAAGACCCCAATCATTGGGGAAGCAACGACAAGATCATGGAAAACAAAAACTCTGAAACTTCTTCCTATGTCCTTCACTGGAAAAGCATCGATGGGGTTGCACCATACAAAGGCCTCCAAAGCTCGTAGATTGCTCCGACCAGTCTTTGCCATGACATACAATCAATGAGAAAGCAATGATCAATTCACTATATAAAAAAACCTCCTGAAATTTTCTCGGCTTGAAAAGCCGTCTATTTTCCTTCTCTTCGTGTGATGTAGAAGCCCTCCTCTTTCCTTGGCTCAAATACTTACTCGTTTCCTTAAATTCCTCCTTGCCTCATTTTAGAAAAAACAATGTAATAAAAAAAGAGAGAGAAGAAGTGTGGGAAAAAAAATAAAGATTATTAGATAAGTTGAAGTTTATTGACTTGTCGGTTGCATTTCGCTATCATCGTAGCTGCCTCACAAGCAAATATATGAAAATTGTGCGCACAATATATTCATATAGGTTAATCGATTTTATAGAACAATAGATTAGAGAATGACTCCTATGGTTGCAGTGTCTCGCGACATCAAAATTGTGCGCACAATATATTCATATAGGTTAATCGAAGAACTACATGCATTTTATAGAACAATAGATTAGAGAACGACTCCTATGGTTGCAGTGTCTCGCGACATCAACCAACAGTTTTATAGATAACTGGGTAGGCCAGGCTAGACACCCCAATGCAGCCCCCTACAAGGGGATGACACTGGGAGGTTGTCGAAATTTCGAATGGCCTGGACTTGCAAATAACTTAAAATTTGTTCTATTAAATCTTGTGAATGACTAAAAAAATTGAAGTCTTTGAACTTGTACAATAAGATAGATTGCCTTCCTTAAAACATAAGTCCCATTGTTTTTCAAAGAAAGAAGTATCTATCGTATTGAGAGAGAGGGAGCTGGACTCGATCAACCGCATTGGAAAGTGAGACAACAATGCAATTGATTGAAATGTATATATCAACTAGAGCAGAAAAGTAAGCATAGGGGAATATTTGTTTTTTCATTCATCATCAAATCAGAGAGTGGTCTAACCGTACAAATGATTTTAAATTTTGTACAATTTGGATTTACAAATCATTTTAAATGTACTTTTTTGTATTTGAAAAAATTAACTAAAATATTGAACCATCTGGACTTTGAAACGACATTAAAATAAAAATTATTAAATTAAAATTCAAAATAATCATTCAGATTATAGTTCAAGTATTTTCAAGAAAATCAATTTATGCATGCATGACATATAAAGGCTTATGAATAATCGGATAACCTGTCAAATAATATGATTGGACATCTTTTTGAGTTTAAATTCAATCATATTTGAAAATAATCAAGTAAGAATCTGTCCTAATGCAAATGCATCTTTATGTGATATATTTAAATACATAAATTGGGGATAACTAAAGACAGATATCATTTTAAAAAGTTAAACAATGACTTCAAATGCCTCATTATCTTCAAAATTGCAACTCCAACTCATACGCATACAGAAGGCAACCTATTGAAAAAGTCAAAATATGATTTCATTCATTTCATTAATATAAAATTAACACAAACTGTCAAAATTTTTGAACTGTCAAAATTTTTGAATGATTCAAATATAAAATTAACACAAACTGTCAAAATTTTTGAATGATTCTTTCAGTTCTGCCACCAAATTCACAACATATATACAAGCGAATAGAAGACGGTATTTTAC